TTTAAACAAAAAGATTGTTATTTAATTTTCAACCAAAAACCAGAAAATGAAAATATTTTTTAAAATAGTAATCGCTTTCAAAAAATCATTTAACAAAAAATATTTTTCATGTTTTCAAATACAACCCATGTATTTATAGCTTTTAATGTGTAAAATGTATGGTTAAAGGGATTTTTTTTTTGTTTTGTTTTTTTTTGTTTTTTGTTTTTTTGTACAAGTTTATACTTATTAGCGTAAATGCATTAGTTTATACCAAAAAAGACCAAAAATGATATACTAATATGCAACGTCATATCCTTTGGGCACAAATTATTCTATGAGGTGGACCCAGGTCCAAATGTTTGCAATTTACATACTAAATGATAATAATTTACTTATTAAAAATTCACAATTTGTATACTATGAACACACAATGTTAATATATATATATATATATATATATATATATATATATATATATATATATATATATATAAACAATTACCTTGTTTTGTATTCACGAGTTCTTTTCAAATACTACAATCACACAATATTAACAAATTAGGATTTGATGATCCTGTATTATATTCACAAATTCCCTTCTACAGTACAATTATTATTTGTTTTGACTTAGAAACACAATTTATATTCTAGAAGTTCACAATTTCAATACTAAAAATACACAATTTATACATCGTTTAAAGACTAGATTTAGATCCATTAAATGATATTTAAATTTATACTCCGTATTTATTAATGTAAAAAGTGTAGTTTGTTAAAATTGAAAGTATAGAATGTTAATTTTAAATGTCACAAATTTTAGATCAATGCCTAATAAGCCTGATAGTTTAAGATTTTAGAGTTAGGATAAAACAATTTAGTAACTAACAAAAAAATTTGATAAGCTCGAATTGATAAATCCGACAACTTGATACGACTAGCTTGAAATCAAGTGGACTGGCTTGATTTACAACTCTAATTTACACTACTACAAAATGAGTTTATCTATGAGAAATTACAAATTTGTCCTCAACTCTAATATAAATTTGTTACAAATTATGACAGAGGACAAAAATGACAATTTTTTTTTTTTTTTGAGCTCAACCAAAAATGATAATGACAAAATAGTTAGGTGACTAATATTGATTATTTTATAATCAAGGATTAAAAGTGATTATGCCACTTAAAATAGAGAGATGATCAAAAGTAAAATTTTGTTTTTGTTTTTGTTTTTTTTTTTTCACCTTAAACATGTAATACCTTTTAACAAAAATATAATATTTTTTTATTAATATATAAAAAAAGAATTATAAATTTTACATGAGGTCCTCTCACACAACTGACACAAGACTTATTGTTATTTCTTTTTGCTAAGAGCAAACCTATTAGGTTTTTGTTTTTTAATGATTTTCGCAGACCTTCAAAACTTGGTGGCGGTTTTTCAACAAATGGGTTAAGAGGTTTTGGATGGTTTTTATTATTGCAAGTAAAGTTTTGTGTGGGACCCACTTAAATTTATCAAACTTTGAAAAATTTCCGCAGTTGCGCGTCAGGCGCATTGTTGTGTCGATCTGACGCGTGAAACCATTAAATTTTTTTTTTGTTGTCTGTTTTCCTATCCATTTTTTTTTTGTTTTTATTTTTTTCTTTTTTCCTCTTCTCTCTTCTATTTGGCAAGATAAAAACCCTAAAAACCAACACTATTGGTCTTGCTTAATTTGTTGGTGAAATTTTTCTTCTGTCATCCAAGGCTTCTGCTTTGCTTTTCAGTGTTCTAGTAATTTGAACTTAATAGTAACCACATCAATGCATAATATGGGGATAATGTAAATTAAATTCTCTCATGTTGAAGATAATAACCAATGTGAGAAGAAAGAATACAAAAATAATTCTCCTGCAAAGGGTGGGAGAATGGAAGAAAAAAAAAAAAAAAGAAGAGCAACGCACGGATTGCGCGTATCGCGCAGTCCAAGAGGACTGCACGCGTCCGGAGACGCATCAGGCGTGCCTGATTTCATCAATTTTTTTTTTTTTTTGTTTTATTTTTTCTTTTTTCTCTCTCCCCTCCCACTTTCTCTTTCCTAATCACTCTTACATTATCCATTTTCCCCCAAATCTTCCCAACTGATGCGGATGCTCTAAGCCCTAAAGCAGAGTACAAAATCCGTAGAAAGAAAAGGGGTTGTAAAATCTTGACTCTGCTTGCTTGCTTGCTGCACCATTAAGCATTAAATTTTGAAATGATGTCGACAGTGCAATGAGGTTGTTGTCTATTTTGCCGTTTAGTATACCAAAATTTGTTCATCTTGAGAAACACATTAATTAGTGTCCACTCATCAATATCACTCACCTAAATTTGAGTGATGACATATTCCTAAGTTGAGTACAAAGTACAAACACAGGATGAGCAACGCCTCTAACTCTAAGATTTCTCAAATTACAAGATTGTCAACTTTGTCATTTAATTTACTTGCCAAAGTTGTTCATTTTGATGATAAACACATTGGTACGTATCTTGTAAAAAAGTAAAAGGGTGTTGCTATTTGCACCACCCTTTGGTCAAAAGTAGGTATAAAGTATCTTGAAATTGTAAAATGATGAAAACTTTCGTGGTGTAAATAGCCAAATGGGGATTCATTTTGCTATTTGCACCACCTTGGTCAAATCGTATTTATGAGGTGTAATTAATTATTTTTTAATTCAAAATTTAATTAAGAGAAAATGGTACTTTTTCTCCCTAAGTTATATACTTATAGTATTTTTTACCCATGAATTATTTATGTTAGCATATTAGCCCCCCCAATTATTTTAAAAGTGACGATTTCCCCCCTCTCGCCCTCCCCCGATATATTAAATTGACATTTCTACCCTTAAAGTAACCATTTTATTTATTTTTCTTCTCTAACAAATTATTGCGTATACGTATGGATGACCACGATTCGGTTCTAATTGAACCGGACACTATAGCAATCGAATTAAAAATTTCTGGTTAAGGGAAAATTGTACACTTTTTCCCTCTAAGTTATATGATTATAACACTTTTTTCCTCTCAGTTATTTGTTTATCCACATTTGCTCCCTTAATTATATTAAAAGTGGCAGGTTTTCTCCATTTTATGTTAGGTGAACATTTTTATCCTTAAAACTAAATATTTCATTTATTTTTTCTTCTCCAACAAATTATTGTTTATATATACTAATGATTATGGTTCGCTTCTAACAATTTTTTATTTTATTGCCAATTCAAAATTTATTTATTTATTTATTTATTATAAATTCTATTTCTTATTTTTAAAATAATATAAATTCAAAAATTATTTTATTTTATCTTATTTCATTTTTTCGGTTCTGAATCGTAAGTATAAGAAAATAAAGTTGTGTTGTGCCTTCACAATTAGTTATATTTGTTCTATATTTTCTTAAACATTTTTAACCCTAAGAATCTAAGCTCCACTCCCAAGGTTCGGACCTATGACCATTTATTTGAAATGGTAATTGAAATGTCATCGTATTACATGATAGTTGGCTTAATCATATTATATATAATAATCATATAAAAACCAATTGTTGTTAAATCAAAGTAATTGTAGATTACTAGTATATATGTCCTCTAATGAAGGTGTGCATTCCTCAAAAGAGAGAAATCAAATATAATTTTAGATATAAAATCACACTCTAAAATTTGTTGGAGAAAAAAAAATAAATGAAATATTTAGTTTTAAGGGTAAAAATGTATATCAAACATAAAAGGAAGAAAACATGACACTTTTAATATAAATAGGAGGCAAATGTGGATACATGAATAACTAAGAGGGAAAAAGTGTTAAAAGCATATACCTAAGGGGAAAAAGTGTCATTTATAATAAATATTTGTTAAAAAAATAATGTTTGACTAAAATTAATGAAGGTGGTGCAAATAGCAATTTTCTATTTACACCACCTAAAAGTTATCACACAATGGTGTAAATAACAATTAGGGTGGTGCAAATAGAATTCCCCAAGTAAAATCATGTCTCAAAATATCAGTCACCTAACTTCAATACATAGCATACTACTAAGCTTAGTTGGTATAAATACTAGTACATGATTTTTCATGACTACCCAAAATTACAAGGCTTGTTTAGTTGTTTAATACTTCCCCATGTCCGGCGCGCGTGTATGTCTATATATATATATATATATATATATATATATATATATGGATTTGCGTCCATATGCAAATTAGTCTTCCTGTCAATTTTCTATTTACACCACTTAAAAATTATCACATAATGGTGTAAATAACAATTAGAATAGTGCAAATAGAATTCCCCAAGTAAAATCATGTCTCAAAACATCAGTCACCTAACTTCAATGCATAGCATACTACTAAGCTTAGTTGGTATAAATACTAATACATGATTTTTCATAACTACCCAAAATTACAAGGCTTGTTTAGTTGTTTAATACTTCCCCATGTCCGGCGCGTGTGTATGTCTATATATATATATATATATATATATATATATATATATATATATATATGGATTTGCGTTCATATGCAAATTAGTCTTCCTGTGCGAAGAACCTTCAAATTACTGAAGAAATGCACCACAATTACTACATGAATATACGCGCAAAAAATCCTAGACATGTCTAGAGGACGTGCGAATACCTTTGATAAAGCTGAGAGTAGTTGCGGTGCTTTTGTGTAATAGTTGCAGTGCATTTCTGGATGAAAATGGAAGGAATAAAGGTCAAATAGGCCATCGAACTACACCCCAAAATGCAATTAGGCCATTAAACTAAAAAAATATGCAATTTGGTCCCTAAACTAACCAATTTCATACAATTAGTCCAATTGACAAGTTTTTCAAGTTTCTAATAGGTCACCTTAAATTTAAAATATTTTTTACAAATATTTATTTAAAACTAATTAATTTTTTTTTTTTTTTTTTTTAAAAAGTCCCTGCCTGAGACAAAGAAGGTGGGATCAGCCCAATTCAAAAAACAGCACCGCTGGCAATACTTTTGGGTCAAGCGTCGGAGAAGTTTTAAGACAATTTATCGATGGCCAAGGAGAATTCCAAGTCCAACAACCCTCTGTGCTACTTAAAAATATTAGGCATGTGCAGTGGATGGTTCGGATCGGTTCAGATGGCGGGGAGGGAAATCTGAACGGATTTCAGATTTCAGTTTTGACACCCCAATCTTTTTTTTTTTTTTTTTTTGTTGACTTATCCGTTCGGTTATAACATAATTTGGACCGGTCGGATATCGGTTTGCATTTAGGTTTTTAACAAATGTAAAAATCAATTCAAAAATCAACATCATTAATAGAAAAAGTAAAACAGATAGTTAACTTAGTAATTAGTATTACTAAGTAGTCTATTAACTAACACTAACAGTCAAGTGTCTAAGTCTAACATTCTAACAAAAGTAAATTAAATTGTTATAGATTTACAGACCAAAAGGATCAGAACTCTACACAAGTATTACGTGTAAAGGAAGTAAGTCAAGTAACTTCTCAAATTTACAAAATACACAACTACTGAACTGAAGCACCAAAATCAGCAAAATCAGCAAAATCAGCAAGTGTCAACTCCTAGGCTTTTAGACAATTAGACATACTCTTCTTCTTGTGAATTGTGACAAGTTAGTGAAAATAATTAATACACAAGCAAGCATTAGAATTCTAAAAAAATGAAACACAGAAAAGGTATTATATCAATTTTTGGCTCAGTAAGCATTTTTCCAATCAATTTTGGATTAAGGGCAAATTGCTTCAATATAACTCAATAAGTATAGAACAATTCACCAACTTAATACTTTTCAAATTAAAGGTGGAAGCTTCATCATTTCCAACTTAAAGGGAACAAACATAATAAAATAGTTCATACATTACCAACCAAATGCCCAAGGGACTTGAGGCAGCAACTTAGTAAAAGTTACCAGGCCTTCATACTTACAGAGTTACAAATGTCTAGTGCCAGAAAATGATGAATGATCAAGCCAGTAACTAATAAAATCAGTTACAATGGGCTCAAAAAATACCAAGTGAGATCAGATTGCAATTGAGTCAAATACTGTAAAAGATTGCAACAAAATCAGACAGAAGTAATGTAAAGAATAACATTACAGGAATCGTAGCAAGTGTAGAACCAAGAGACTTCCCACTTCCACCATCACCACTTAACTCTGCAAAAAAAAAAAAAAAAGAAAAAAGAAAGAAGTATTAACATAAAAGTATAAAACAGTAAAAACAGTAAAACACTAATGACTAAAGACCTAAAGTTATACCTTTTTTCAAACCTCTCCAACTCTTACAGATTATCTTTAATACATAAAGGAGTATTTTGCATTCTAAGCCAATCCTGTGTACACACCAAAGCTTCCACCATTTTTGGAGTTAATGAACTCCTAAAAGGATCCAATACTCTCCCAGATGTACTGAAGGTAGATTCTGAGGCAACAGTTGAGATTGGAATAGCTAGGACATCCCTAGCAAGCTTAGACAGAACTGGAAACCTAGTAGGGTGAATCTTCCACCATCCAAGAATATCAAATGATTCTCCCTCTTAAACTATTGCCTCACTCAAGTACATATCCAACTCAGTTTGTTTTTTTACCCCAGACTCCAATCTTTATTTTTTAATTTGGGACTTGAGTAAATATTGTGGCCTCCCAACAGAAACAGAAGAGGTAGATGAAGATTGAACAGAAACATGAACAGAAGGGACAGAACTCACACTAGTAGGGTTACAACTGACAGGATAATCATCAAATAACTCAGTCAGAGCAGAAAGCACTTTCACATAGTATGATTTACCCTTTTCCTCACCATACATATGATTAAGCTGAGTAGGCATATACTCTAACTTGTCCCTAGGGTCTAGAATGTTTGCAAAAAAAAAAAAAAATCATTAGATTCATTTTATCAACATCACCCTAATACTTCTCAAATTTTGCCTTCATATTTTTCCCCATATCACGCACTGCCCCACCAGCATCCACCACGCCCTTCAATAGGTAGTACAGATCAGAAATCTCAATAAAGAATGTGTTTGAGGTGACATATAAAGAACCAGAAATTCTAATGGTCATGTCATAAAAACACTTCAATAACTTGACCAAACTGCCAACTGATTCCCAGTCCATAAAATCAAGAATAGAATTACCCAAGTCAGACTTGAAAGAACAATCAGATTTCAAAGATTCAAACACTTTCTGGTAAGTTAATGCAGATTGCAACATCAAATATGTAGAGTTCCATCTAGTTGGAGCATCTAAACACAAAGAAGACCTTTGTTCAATACTCAACAAATCAGCCAAATCCCTGAACTTCTTAAGCCTAGTAGGAGAGTTTCTAACATATCTGACCACCTCCCTAACCTTCTTGACAGAACTATCACAATCTTTCAGACCATCTTGAACTACCAAGTTCAAGATATGGGCAATGCATCCCATGTGAATATACTTTTCCCTCACAGTAGATGTTCCCCAAGACACCAATTTTTTCTTCAGAAACCTCATAGCAGTGTCATTGGATGAGGCATTATCAACAGTCACACAAAAGACATTCTTAAGCCCCCACTCTAGCAAACAAGTTTCTAGGGCTTTGGCTATATATTCACCTTTGTGAGAGGTAACAGGGAGAAATGCAATGATTTTCTTATGAAGCTTCCACTCATAATCAATGATATGAGCAGTGACCACCATGTAGTTAATCCTTTGAATGGATGTCCAAGAGTCAGTTGTTATACTAACTCTATGACTGCTTCCCCTTAAAAATGCCTTCAGTTTTAGTCTCTTCTCTTCATAGACAACTAGGATGTCCTTACTTATAGTCCATCTAGTTGGAACTATAAACCTAGGGCAAATGATAGCTATGAATCTCTTGAAACATATTCCCTCCACAAATCTAAAGGGGAGTTCATCAATGATTATCATTTCAACCAAGGCTCTCCTAATTCACTCTTGATTAAATACCCAGGTCCCTATTTCCCCCATAGTAGGCTGAGTAGAATCACAAGATGTAACAGCTTGAAATGTTAAAAGATATTGCTTAGTATCCTTGGAGTGAGGATTTTTCAAACAACTCAACATGTGGTTTCTTAAGGAAGATTTACCATTTTTTTTTGACTCACACTGATACACTTTTGCACAGTAAATAAACTTGGCTTTTACAGTAACACCATTACTGTAATTTATTTTCTCAAAATGATCCCATACTCTGGATCTGGAATCAACCTGCTTCCTCTTCTTTTCAGGAACTGCTGCAGGGGGTTGCACATTCTATTGATCATTTTGCTCAATAGTTTGGGCTTCCACCCCTGAAGGTCCCTCTATTGAAGAGTTGAGAGGTTGACTACTAGGCATACTAATATTTTCCATCTAAGAAATGGTTAAATATCAGTACACATAAGTATGGTTCATATTCAAGAATAATAGATAGTCTCACAGTCAGCCATACAATTACACAGAAGCACAGAGCATGAAAACAGAAACCATTCCAGAATAAGACACATTTTGTGTCATCATTTTCAAAGAATACATAATTTTATTTATTTATTTTAGTTTGTGTCACCATTTTCAAAACCATTAAGGGTATACATCCATAAACTTGACATTTTTTTTACTGAAATCCATATTCAGGGTTTTAATTTCCCTTTCCAGAGAGGCAGAGACTGTTATAATTATTATATAGATCATGTCCTCATGTTCACCAGACATCATTATCTGGATTTCACTACTTAGGGGCTTCCTGTGACAACCCAAAAATATTTTTCCTAATTTCTATTTTAATAAATTCCAAAATATATATTTTCACTCTTCCGAAAACTTTTCTAAAAACGGTGTATGAATTAAATATTTTAAATCAAGTTTTTAAATCGATTCAGCACCAAGAAATAACCGATTTTGAAAATCCTAAGTTTCGGGTATATTTATGTACCAAGTTTTGACCCAAAAAGCCAATCTGAGAGGAACCTGTGAAACCTGAACCCAATGTTTTAATTAGAAATTATCTTTTAGAAAATCTATTTTTGACCCCAAAGTTGTCTAAAATTATTTTTGAGGCATTAGATGAAAGTCTGAAGATTTCTACAAGCCAAAGCAAATATCTTTTGGAGCAAGCCAAATTACTCTTTTACCCCTTCATCCAATCATTTTCTACCTAGGATTTTGGACCCCTATATAAACATCACTATTCCATTCATTCTCTTGATCCTCTCTTTTGCCTCTCCGCTCCCACACTCTAGATTCTGTTGAAGAAGAAGAAGAAGAAGAATGACAGTAAGTATTTGCTTTCATCTCATCCATCCATTTCATCTCATCTCTTAAGATCATCCACTCTTGTCTCCCAAATCTCTGAGTTCTTCCTTAAGCCTTGTGTGTGTATGTTTGTTTGAGGAGAATATGTGGTGAAGGAGGTAGTATCTGAGAAGGAGAGGAAGGGGGATCTACACAAGAGAAGGCAAAGCACAAGGTATAAACCATGGATTCCCAAACTAAGTTTTTGCTCTGTAAAATGTTAGAAGTTGATTTTAGATGTTTAGAAATGCTAGAAAATACTTGATGATGAGTTGTTTGTTTGTTGTTGATGTTTTATGATGGATTTTTTGAGGTCTAGAAGTGTATTTTGGATGCTTTGTGTTGATTTTTAGTGAAGAAGAAGGCTTTGGTGCACACTGTCTGGTGCACCGGATGACCTCACGGTCCTAGCCAACGGACCTAGGCAAGGTCCGCTGGCTAGCACCGTGAAGTAGCGGACCATGACAACAGATCCTAGTTGGATCCGTTGCCTAGGGCCGCCGCTTGGCGAAGCCAAGTGGCGGGGCTTCTCAAGCCCCGTCACCAAGCTCCGCCAGGCCAAAAGTTGAACAGGTCGGGCCCTCTGGGGCTCAGCCATGTGTTTTTCAGACCGGGACTCGTGGGCCCTTGAGGTTCGGACACTCGGACTCGTTATGACATGCTAGTAAAAGTGATTTCGTTTGATTTTGAGTTTGAAAGCATGTTTAGCAGTTTGAGATTTTTGAAAGTTGAATGCACTGTGTTGTTTGGCTGTGAACTTGAGTCTGTGAAGGGTGTAACACCCTTAGATT